GTGACGGGGCCCCTGGGACGGCCCAAATGCCCCTCTGCAGATGTGTGAAGCTGAGGCCCAGGGAGGGTCTGTGAGCAGTTAGACCGAGGCCGGGAGAAGGGGTCCTGCCCACAGGAGGCTCTGCCATGGACGGGCCGAGACCGGGAGAAGGGGTCCTGCCCACAGGAGGCTCTGCCATGGACGGGGCGACTCCCTGCTCCCAGGAACTGAAGCAGCCCAGCCTCCCAAGGTGCCCTGGGGGAGGAGGAGCACCTGGCCCTCCCGCCCTTTGTCTAGTCCAGAGTCACGGTTTCCTCTCCCAGGTTCACAGCTGAGCACCTGGTCCCAGTGGAGTGAGTGTTTCACAAACAGCACCTGCCGTTATCATCCCTGGTAATGGCATGTGATTGCAAGGGCGGGGTCATTCCAAGCCGCCCCCAGTCCCTCAGGGACAGGGTGGAGCCAGGCCTCGGTCCCAAGTGTCAGAATCAAAGTCCAGAGCTGCCCACCTGGAGGTAGGCGGGACTCTCACCTCATTAAGGGGCTCTCATGATCTGGCCCGGGGAGCCCTAAGCAGACGATTGGCCATTTTCTCTGCTGACCCGATGCACAGATGCTGTGGCCATTGGGTTCATGGGACGTCTGCTCCGGGTCTGGCGAGGGCTGGACCCTGACCAGGTGTCCCATGCAGACTTGGCTCTGCTGGGAGCCAGAGGCGTCCTCGCTCAGGTGAGACCCTGCATTTGGGGGAATGTGCCTTCCCAGGAAGACACATCAAATCTGGGATAAAGGATGATTAGAAACTGCTAGACTCTGCCTTCTGTGGCTCAGGGGAAGACCCTGAACTTGAACTTGGGAAAGGAGCCACGACCAAAGTTGTCTGGGCCTCAGGCCTTTCTCAGAATGAGATGGTCCTCCCTGCAGGGAGTTGCCCGTGGGCACGTGCACCCGGCTGGTCCCCCGAGGAGAGGAGCCCCTTTTGCACCCGGAGCTCCTCCGGTCCCAGGTTAAGCAGCCTCGCTTGGCCTCTGCCTGGCTGTCCCCCTCCAAGGGCACCGTGCAAAAAGGGGGTTCGAAGCAGGACAATTCCAGTCGAGGATCAAGCTTTTTCTGTCCTAAGAGGAACCAAGAAATGTCTCTGCAAAAGGAGAAGTGTGTCGCCGTGGCCCCCGGATGAATACCCCACCTCTGTCCCCACTTGAGCCCCTGTTCACTGGAAAGCCACAAACATTCCAAGCCTGGACTTCTACAGAATCATCTCAAGTTCTTCGAACTCCACTGGTCCAGGGAAGGATGGGAGGAAGTGCTGATGGGCGGGGCCAGATCCCAGCGAGGTTAAATAGGTCACCTCCACCCTGGGCGCCCATCCTGTCTCCCCCGGCTGAGGGACCGCACACAGAGACCTTCTCTGGGCTCCAGCACCATGACCCCATGGAAGACACTGCTCCTGCTCACCCTCCTCCTGGGGGCTTCCCTGCAGGAGGCCCGTGCAGGTGAGAGGGGTGGGGTGGGCGGGGGCGGGGAAGATGGACACACACACATTTGTGTGTTATTTGCAGCTTATTCCTGCAAAGATGTGAGAGGTCAGCAGCAATAGGATTTTGAGGGAGGCGTTGAGAGAAAAACAATGATGAAGGGGAGGAGGAGGAGGAGAGGAGGCTTGGTGAGGGCTCCCACATCTCACACTCCAAAGCAGGAGACTCGGTTCCCAGAAGATGTGAGGAGAGAGAAAGTGAACAATTCTCAGAAGAATTTGTCAGTGTATGTTTAATGAATGGGTTTTCCATACCCTGAGGGAATTGGGTAAAAGCAGGCAACTCGGTTCCCAGAAGAGGTGAAGAGAGAGGTTTTTACATTCAGTTGGGAAAGGAAGGCTGAAATCAGACACAAGCTGGCGAGGGCCTGCCCAGCCCACGGGCAGCCTCGGAGCTTATCTTGTCAGGGGCCACCTTCCCGGCTGTGCCTGTGTTCTCACTCCTGTGAAGCCAGCACTGAGCACCTCAGCCCTGACGTTACAGCCCCCGGATGGTCGAGGGCAGCCGGGCTTCTTAGAAAACATGCTGGTATGCTAGTAACGAAGCCACACGTCTCCAGCTTGTCTCTGTGCAAGTGTCAGATATTTGTCGTTGTGCAGAGATGAGGGAACCGAGCCCCTGGGCCTCCGTCTCACCATCTGTCCAATGGGGGATGAAGGCACCTGTCTCAGGTGTGCTGGGGGACCGTGTGAGCTGTGCCGGGAAGGCTCAGCCCGGAGCTGGCGTTGAGCGTGCACACACTTACAGATGCATACACAGACACACATGCAAGTAAGCATGCACCACTCCCCCAAACACACACAGGTACACACACTCAGGCATATGCACACACACACACACACACACACACAGGAGCTCCCAAAGCCCACAGAGACCTTAGGCACACACATGTGAGCATGTGACACACAGACACGTGCAGGCCCTCTACATGCTCCCCACATAGAAACACACTCACAGATCCTCCCATCAACACACAGACACACACACACAAATGTGCACACAGACTCCTCCCCACAGACGGACAGACACACAGACAGGCACCCTGCCCACAGCACAGGTCTCACACCTGCTCCTGCTTCTTCCTCCGCAGCTCGAGGGATCAACGTGGGCCGGGAGTGCTGCGTGGAGTACTTCAAAGGGGCCATCCCTGTGCGGAGGGTGGTGCGGTGGTACCGGACCTCGGAGGAGTGTCCCAGGGCTGCTGTCGTGTAAGCCTGCCCTCCCCCCGCCCCGATCCTGGGAGCTGAGTGTGGGAGAGGGAGGTCCTGGAGCTTCCAGAAGGGCCACTGGGAAGAAGAGAGGAGAGTATGGCCTTCACGTCCCCTCTGTCACCCAGGCCCTGCCCCTGAACCCCCCCCCCCCCCCCGGTTCACGGGCTCTCTGGAAGGGGAGAGTCACTGAGGCAGAGCCTGAGGTCCCAGATTTCCTACTGAGGTCCCAGATTTCCTACTGACCCGTGTGATGTCAGCAAGTCTGGCAGGCGCAGGATGAGGCTGCTGGGCTCTGTGGAGCCTTCTGCCCTGACGCCCCCTGGCTTTCTCCCTCTGTAGGTTTGTAACTGTCCAGGGCAGGTCCATCTGTGCGAACCCCAAGGAAACCACGGTGAAGAAGGCGGTCAAATACTTGCGAACCATCATGAAGTCACATGACCCCAGGGTCCAGGAGTCCTGATTTCTCCCTGGACCATGTGGAAACTTCCGGTGCCTCAGTGTTCACTACCCCAACCCCCCAGCGGCCTGGGTCCAGTGGGGGCCGTCCAAGGATGGAGTACCATCCTTTTCCCAACTGGAACCGAAGCATGAAAGGGCCCATTAAAGTCTTTCTGCCACAGTCTGTGTCAGTGTGTCTGTCCCCCAGGCTGTCACATTGCTGGGCCCTCGGAGAACATCTGGTCCTGCCCCATCCAGGTCAGAAAGGCAGCTGAGGCTCAGAGGGACCTGGGGGCAGGCCACACTCGGTGAGGGAGGCCCTGGTGTGAGGGGCCTAGGCAGGGGTGGGGCTGAGGTAAGAGCAGGGGGCGTGGATGAAGAGGCTCAGCAGACCCCCGCCTCTGTGGTGCATGAGCAGGGAGGGGTTCTGGGGAGCATTGTCTGGGTTCTCTCAGGTCTCTTGTTGGACCCCTGAAGTCCCCAATCTCCTCCCAGACCAGCCTCTGTGCTCACCTGTGACCTCTTGCCCGGTCCCCTTAAGTCTCTGACCCAATTCCGCAGACGTTCCCAGCTGGGGAGCTCCCTGGCCTGGGGGTTCCTGCAGCCCCACCCCCATCTTGCCCACCTCTCACTGCAGAACCTTTGCAAGACCCTCAGTGGTCTGCTCTCGACTCCCAGCGGTTGCCTGCAGTCCCTCGCCCGGGACCTCACATCACGGCACTGGAGGCCAGAGAAACCCTCGTTCTCCGGTTCTTCTAAAGGCCCAGCACTCAGGCCAGGCCCACTCAGGATACTCCTTCACTGATGGTCCCTTAGGGACTTCACGCCTGCAAACCCCCTCACTTCTGCCACATAATGTGATCTCGCCACAGCAGTGAGGGCCCGCCATGCTCACAGGCCCCGCTCAAACACAAGGGCAGGCATCCACCGGGCGTGGGGAGCTTGGGGGGGCCTGGAACTCTACCCACCACAGGGGCTTCGCAGTCAAACTAGAATCTAGCCACACCCATAACTGAGCTCCACCCGCCGGGACCAGGAGAAGCAAAAGCAAGCTTCGAGCACTAATACCAAAGAACGCTTTTATTTATTAGTAAGATAGGAAAATCCAGGGCTCTCAGACCCACACACTCTCCCAACTATTTGGCCAGACCCACTCCAAGTCTGTGAGGGCGGTAACGAGAAGGGTCTCCTGCTCTGAGAGGTGAACTGTGGGTTCAGGTCTCTGTCCTGCTTCCTCCAGCCAGGACTCTTCTAAAGGAGACGGAGAGGCCCGGTCCCTGGAAGGACCAGCCCCATTGTGCGGGACACAAAGTCTCCAAAACCGAAAGTTCTGTGGTGCAAGTTGAATTTTCCCCTCGTCACAACTGATCCGTGGAAGTACACGAGTTTAATAGTAACTGCAGATGAACAGAGCACAGGTGCAACACACGAAAACACGGGTGGGGGTGGAGGGGTACAGGGACTATGATCACAGCAACCCCTGAGTGACTCCCTTGGTGCCCTGAGGTGACGAATCCCTTGACTCACGTCACCAGGAACTGCATGGCGAGTAAGCCACCAACTCGGTAAGACACTAGCGGCACCCGCTGAGCACAGAGTAGGGGCAGGGCCCTGTCACGGAGTTAATACTCGGGGAGCCTGGGCTCGGAGTGTTATGATCAGCACAATGACCCTGGGAGGGGGACCGCTCCAGGACACATCCGATTCCCTAACACTATGAAGAAACCGGCCCGCCCAGGTAACTGGCCCAGGACACCTTGGTCTTTTGATCCACAGCAGCACTACACACCCCTGCACCCCACAGCCGGCTTCACTCTGCCTGAGCCCCTCCCTGCAAACGGGTTTCGGAGAGAGGGAGCCCATGCAGAGACAGGGTCTGAGGCAGGAGTGGCCGGAGGAGCCGTGTGCCCGCGGGTCCCTCCTAGGCATCGCTGAGGTTGCTGTTGCTCAGGAGCACCTGCTCCCCGGGCTTGAAGGCTGGCATCCCGAGGTAGGGGCAGCTGGCGCAGCGGAAAGCATCGCCCAGGTAACACTGTGGACATAATAAATATACAGTGATATATTGTAATATACTGGAGAGACCATCATACGGGGAGCTTATGCCAGGAACAGGGGCTAGGACGGGATCCCTAATTTCATGTTATGGCCTCAGCGGCTGAAGGAAATGGCTGGGTGCATCTGTAGCTCCCCTGGGGGCCCAGACACAAGAGTTTTAAAGATCTCTGGTCCTATGAGAACAATGGCCTAGAGAAGCTCCTTAGGCCATATTTCTATATTCTCAGCATTCAAGTACCAGCTGAGCTTAGCCGAACGGCTGAATAACCTCAGGTCCACCAGGAAGCAGGAAAGGACAAAAATAAGAAACAAGAGCCCCCGTCTGGGCATGAGCATGCTGACCCTCTCTTAAGAGATAACTGTGCTGCCCCATGAAGACCTACATACATGTTCTCACGTGTTCACCGATTATTGAAATATTGGGCAGGAAGTTCCCTACAGCGAGAGCTAGCCTGGGTGGCGTTCAGGATGACGCCCGAGACCGCTAAGGATTTGGGGAATACTAAGCAATGATACTTACATTCCCACAAGCCGACTTGGGTTGGGAGCTCGTCTGTTCCCGGGAATTCTCTTTTTCCAGTTCTTCGGCAAGGCCACACGTGCTGGGGAATCAGCAGCTGATGAGTGAGACTGGCCACCACCCAGAAACTCCAAATCCTGGCAGTACCAAATGTACGCAGACTTTCCTCTTCATTCCTTCCCACTGACTTCCCAGGAGTTGCTCTGCGAGATTCTCAAAGAAGACAGAGCAGAGGGCCCTGTCGATCTTTCTTCCCTGGGAGCCTTCTGAGATATGGAATATCCATCCTTCCTTGTCTACTCAGGTTGGGGCTTACTCTTCAGTCCTTCACAAATAATATATTGTCTGGAGATTCACATGTAGGTGGTTAAACTATCCACCTACATGTGAAAACTGGTTGAGCATCAACTTATGAATCAGTTTGATTCCCAGTCAGGGCACATGCGTGGGCTGTGGGCTCGGCCCCCAGTAGGGAGCGTGCAGGAGGCAGCTGATCAATGATTCTCTCTCATCATTGATGTTTCTATCTCTCTTCCTCTCCCTCCCTCTCTGAAATAAGCATGCAGAGGTGGCTGCTAAGGTACCAGTAATATCTCTGGTTCTTAACCTGGTGAGGCGTACCTGGGTGTTCGTTTTATTGTTCTTTAGAATGTACCTGCAGGAAGACTCTGCTGTAATTACACAGAGCACTGTGACTGCAGGGACGAGAAGCCTGGAAGCACCTGGAATCTGCTGCAGGCAGCACTCACCAGTTCTTGCAGGCCTTCCTCTTCTTCCCTTCTCCGCAGGAAGGGGCCCGCAGGGAAGCTGGGTCTGGCTTCTTCAAATCCTCTGGATCCAGCAGCTCATCTGAGTCAATGAGATCCTGGGGAGTGTGGGAAGCAGTTAGTGACACGGCCATACTCTCTGCTAAGGAGAGGCGGAGGTGGCCACAGGCGGAGGCAGCAGGTTTACCGCCTGTGTAAGAAGGCGCCCGCCATCCTCCTTCCGGTTGATGCTCGAGTCAGGGCTGAGCACCACAGAAGATGCACTAGGCTGTGAGGGGACTGGGAACCGATTTACACCGGGAACAGCTGATAGCAGGTAAATGAAAAATACTTCAATAAACACTGCCTTTATAATTATTCAAAGTGTGTGGATACATTTCTGGGATACCCTGTATGTATAAGAAGGCCTGTCAGGTGAAAAGGGGAATAAAATATTTTCTCTAGAATTCCAGAGAAAAGGGCCAATATGATACATATGTTGTGTAATTCTTTGATAAACGTGTGGACAGGTAACCTGTAAGTTCTATGAGGGCACGAGCCATAATCTACTTTGCTTGCCACTATAACTTCGATAGTTGGAGAAGTGAACAACTTTGTTATGGAAGCACCAATCAAAGATAGAGTATTGCTTTGAAGACAGCGAGTGTCAGTGACTTGGCCAAAGGAGCCAATAAAAACATTTCAGCTGACAACTCTTTTCAAGTTTGCACATGCCCACAAGAGTCTTTAAGTGTCGCCTGAAGTAAGAACAAGAAAATCTGTGGGGGGAAACATGCTGAAAAGAAATGTCAAAGGCCACTAATGGGGAGGTTCCTCCTAATTGAGAAATGCTGGGCTTTAAACACCTTCACACCCCCGAGTCCAGAGAGGCCACTCCAAACCAGAAACCTCATCCCCAACGTGGGGCCTAAAGGAAACCTATCAACAGGTGCCGACTCACCATGCCCTCATCCTCCATGTCATTGGCCGAGAGGGTCCAGAGTTTGGCAGCTGCAGGGTCCACAGCAGGCTTCACTGAGTCCAACCAAAAAGGAAAAAGAGCTCCATTAAGAAGCCTTAAACAAACTACAAGCAAACCTAAGTGCTTTCTATTAAGACTTTGTGCAGAGAACATACTGGACTGAGAGTCAAAAGACACGGTTCAAGGCCCAGCTCTACCACTTACAAAAGGCAGGACCTTGGGCCGATGGATCGCTGTGATAGTCACAGAAGCCATCCTTTTTTAAAAAATTGCTCTGTACCAGACATTATATGAAGCATTTCACATACATCATCTCATTTAATCCTGCTAACAACCTTAGGAGGGAAGCCTCTGTCATCCTAATTGCACAGCTAGAAAGCAGGTTTGGACACTTAGGCCACAAAGCCACACATGCCATTCTGTCTAATGCTTTCACTTCCACTCTACATTGCTTTCTCCTCTTTGTCTTAGTTTCCATCCTCAGAACACGGACTAATGGTACTCTGTACACCTACTGCAGGTGATTGAAGATGAATGAGAATGTGACAAAAAGCATGATGAACACACAGCTTCAGCCTCACATAAACCTGTTACACACAAGAAAACAAGCTCTGGAGCTGATGCTGGCAGTGTAACAAATCGGTGGTGGAAACGCTCACACTTCCTGAGTTCTCTACAGGACAGGAGAGCCCAAGAAGGGCCAGAAAAGGGCTGAGATTCCAATTCAGTGTGAGGCCTGTCCTCAAATGGGCCTGGGGGTAAGAGCACCCCCTAGTGATCACTGCCACAACTGCATGCTCGGACCTTCCACTGGGCAAACTGCTCATCTGAGCTGTTCCCACCATACGGGACTATGAACCCAAAGGTTAGGATTCCCAAGGGTTTCTTGAAGGTGTACGCTGGACAGTCAAAACAGAGCTGTGACCGGACGTATACACCTTTGCACACCTCAGAGCTGGGACAATTTTCTCAACCTGGGCGTTAAAAAACAGCGATAGGAAATGCAAAGCGGGGTGGGGAGTGTAATTTTCTGAACAGAAGAAATGTTTTTACAAGTGTCTTAGGATCCTCAAAGGAAGAAAAGCTAACTCTATTGGCACAAAGGCAGAGGACACATGGGAAGAGGAGCAGGGCACTCTTATCTATCATGACACCACCATGAGGTCTCCTGAGGATAAATATCAAAATTCTGGGGCCTGGAGAGCCTTCAATAACTAAGCTCTGTGACTCAGGCCTCTAAAACCCGGAGGCCTCGCCCAGCCGGTGTGTCTCAGTGGCTGAGCACTGACTCATGAACCAGGAGGTCATGGTTTGATTCCCCGTCAGGGCACATGCCCAGGTTGTGGGCTCCATCCCCAGTAGCGGGAGTGCAGGAGGCAGCTGACTGATGATTCTCTCTCATCACTGATATTTCTCTCTCTCTTCCTCTCTCTGAAATTAATAAAAACAACAACATAATAAAATCTGGAGGCCTCAGTGTCCTCCAGTGCAGAAGGGCTGAATAATATCTAGACGTTAGTTCTGTTTCGACCTGAAAATGCCTAGGACAATAGTACAATAAGCATTCTTCCATTTTTAGAGGATTAGTCCTTCCTTAATTTCTTCCATTTGGAAATGACAGAAATTAAGGAAGGACTAATCCTCTAAAGATCTATCACATCATTCAGATCTCTGGCTCAATTCCTAATGTGTCCTTCAGGCCTATTCAGACAAGAACGTCCAGTCTTACCCGAAGGAGACGACTTCTTGGCAGTAGAAAGCTTAAGTTGACTAGAAGAACCCACTTCAAAGTTGGGTTTTTTGCCTGTGATTTGCACAGAGACCAAACTGTCACTATGGTAACCCAGATGTTCTTGGACAGACTGTATCTCCTCAGGGCTCAAGGACTCCCGATGCAGCTGGAATTCAAGACATAAAAGGATCAGGCCACACTCCTCCTAAAAATGATGTTCTAAGCCCACCTACATGGGTATCAAATCCTAATTTCTGTGTTTAAAGTCAGCGGTCGCCAACCTTTCGGACCTCACGGACCACTAGTGTCCACGGGTTGGCCACCACTGCTCCAAAGGTTTCCTTAAACCAGCGGTCAGCAACCTTTCGGACCTCACGGACCACCGGCTGGCGACCGCTGTTTTACGTAGTACACAGGATAACAGCGAGAGTAATAGACATCACCTCATGGTCACATCAGCTTCTCACTGGTCATAACCCTAGAGTGTAACTTTTGTCTACATTTTTACTTTGGGCCCATTTTACTTGGAGTTTTAAAACTTTCCAAAGTTTTATCAAACATTATCAAATATCTGTCTATTAGGCATAAGGCACTGTGCAATTCACTGTGAGGGTTGGGTGAGTATTGTGAAGATGAATCAGAAATGGCCTGTTGAATAGGATCTAAGCCTGTAGCGGGGAAGCAGACCCACCATAAAGACAGTAAAATTTAGATTCTGAGAGGAAAAGAACCACAGGGGGAGGGAAATGCTTTCTATGTGCCTTGGGAAGTAGCAGCAGACAGTAAAAGTAAAAAAATGGGTGGGGGTGCTGTGTCATTAAAACAGTAATAACCTTGTGTCTAACAATTATAGAATGGTTAAATGAACCACAGCCCACCTGCAGCACTGACTACTGTTACATCATGAAGACGAACAAGGGATGATACACTGAGATGGGTAAATGTCCAAAAAGCTAGTGACTTAACAATGTATACATATGACCTTACTGACATTAAGTAATGACATATGTATATACGTGTGTGTGTGTGTGTGTGTGTGTGTGTGGGTGTGTGTGTGTAGCTGCAAATACATAATAAATGGTTTCCTCTGGGGAGAGACCTGTGAGCAAGGACTGGGATGTCATCACTTCATATTCAATATTCTTTAGTATTAACTGAATTTTTGTGAGCATTCCTTATTTTAGAATAAAAAAACGGAAAACCTTAAACTAAAAAGAAAAATAAAGAGTGGGCATGAATAAATTAAGGTCTTCAGTCACGCAGCAAATCAGTGGTATAGTGGCTCTCACTATATTATTCTACCTCACACCTAAGAAAATTTCAACATCAGAGAAGAATGTAGAAAGATAAACACCTCTATTTAATTAAAATATTTCTACTGAACTGTCAAAAATGGGGTTTCCCCTCCAACCTCCACCAGCCGCCCACCAAATATCCGAGGACGATCCAGGTGACTGCCCTTCCCTGGGGCCTAGGACTGGCGTCCACTAAGAGATCTGCGCTCCGCTCTGCGGCCTCAGCGGGCAGCACCACTAACCAGCACTGAGACCAGAATATGCCCCCCCACCCTGGGCCCCAGCCGAGCCTCTTCGGGGGGACTATCCCAGAGGTTTTGTCCCTGGAGGCTTCATGTATCTCACATGCAAAGCACTTCCCAGCTTAGTTCCTAGTCTAAGTGAACTGACCACCTCCCCTTCAGGGCTGGTATTTCCTGGTTTTCTCTGTATTGTCTACGAAGAGGTACGTACTAGGTTAGTGACCCAGGGTTAGGTTCCTGGCAAAGAAGGCTGTCCACCAACATACCTCTTTTACCTCCACGAGACCAGACAGAGTCAGGGCAGAACACAGCTTAGACGCCGTCTTCACTTTGCTCTCATTAACTGCCAAGAGGAAAACCCCAATCAGCAGCTTTATAGGTCAAAGCAGGAAAAATAATAAAGCCTCTATCCTGTTTGGGTCATCAGGCATTAGAACAATAATAACCTTTTCTGTTTAATGTACATACATTTTAGTGATATTTTAATTTGACTTGCTTATTCAAAATTCTCTTACCAGTACTCTTAAGTTTCAGATAGTAATTCCATTATTGTTTCTTATAGCTCTCTGCTTCTTGGAAATACCAAGCCTTCCAGGGTTGTTAGATAATGATTAGAAAGAGGCTTAGAAACTCTAACGTAACAAGTATCGTGTTATCTTTTTATACTTCTGACGAAAGACACTGTGTTTAGTCACCCAACGTTTACATTCCCAGCAACGTTTTTATATCCCCACATAAACATCTTTATACACTTCAAAGTATTTTCATTTCTATTGGTGAAATAAGTCATCACATTTTGATGCAAAGTCTGGTTAACAAATGTTAAAATTCAGAATTATATAATTCCTTGACACTACCACTTGAACAAAAAAGAGAGGTTTTTATTTCCTGAATTCCATCATAGTTTCCCATGAATCAGTAATTACCTCATCACTCCCACATTTCCAGTCACTATATTTCAACTATAACTATGGATGTACAGGATGTTTAAAAAGTTCAGAGATGTCTCGAGAACCCATCAACCTCACTTCCCCCCTGGTAACATCTTACACGATTCTAATACAATATGAAGACCAGGAAGCCGACATCGATAGTCCACAGAGCTTATCCAAATTTCACCAGATTTACATGCACGTGTGTGTGCATGTGTGTGTGTGGTTCTAGGCAATCTTAGCCCACGTGTAGCTTAGTGTAACCAATTACCACAATCAAGATATAGATTGTTCTCTGACCATAGGAGCCGCGGTACTAGCTCTTTACAGCCTCACACACCACCTCCCAGGCAGTCACCAGTTTGTTCTCCATCACCTGTAGCTTTGTATTTCAGGAATGTTGTATGAGCGAAATCAGACAGCATGCGACCTTTTGAGACTGGCTTTTTCACTCAGCATGATTCCCTTGGGATTCATCCAAGGGGTTTCACATATGAAGTTTGTTCCCTTTTACTGCTGCATGGTTTCCCATGGTATAGACATAGCAAAGGTTAACCGTTCGTTCACCTGCTGAAGGACCCAGCCACGTTCAGATAGGCAGTTTCCCTCTATTTTACTACCTACTGGGTCAGAGATCACACATTTCTTCAGATGTGTAGCTTCAGATTTTTTACAATAATGTATCTCTAATGATAAGATCAGCTGTAAGAATATTGATCTCCAAATGGTATCTCCTGCTCAGAGAGATGCAGCAAGCATAGGCACAGATACAACCCTGTGAAAGTCCCGTCTTTCAGATGAAGGCTTCCTTACCTACAGCTGTCTCCACTGGCTCTTTCAGAAACAGACTTCCCCCAGGCCGAAGGATCCGGGCCATCTCAGCCAGAACCTCAGCACTGTGCAGAGTGCAGCTTCCAGGAATTGCACCTGCTAGAATAACATCAAAGCTAGATTCTTTGTGTGCAGCTGAAAAGAAGGAAGACGGTGTCAGCCATCACCTGGACGCCAGGAGCTGTCTCCCAAGCCCTCCGAGCCCCCACCAAGGCCACGCCTGGCCCTGTAGAATGCACACCCACCCGTTCAGCAAATGCGATTAGATCACTGTTACTAGTAAGAGGGGTAAGGACACTGCTGCCCTGCTCTCCCTCAGTCTTCCTACTTTCATATCCTCTGATAGCTCGTGGGAAGAAGTCAAAGAGGAAGCTAAAGAGTGGCTTTAAAAGAAAAAGTGGCGTAGTTAAGAAAGAAACAAGAACATGCTATACAAATCAACCACACTCCTGAGTCCACTGTATCTCAACTGAAAACCGCAGGGTGACAGGCCACTGCCATCATGTGCCACCCAAACAAAAACTCGGTTATCTTATCAGAAGTGCAGCACTCCCGTTGAAAGCTCCCCACTTCGCCCCATCCTGACCCTGTAAAGACAACCTGGGTAGGTACTTACATTGCAACAGCTGGTTGATGTTTTCCACAGACACTCGGCCCTCACTGCCGGTTAACGCCTGCAGCTTTTCCACCAGGTCTTTCAGAGCCTCCAGCGGGGAGGGCTTATCCCAGACCACCGCCACGGACTGGCCAGCCGAGATCCCAAAGTCTGCCATCCCCGCTGCGCTGCACACCTAAAACCACCGGGCAAAGGAGAGTCAGGACTGAGCAGAGACGAAAGCGCAATTTCACCCATGAGGCACCATCGAATTGATTAGAATCACAACCTAATTCTGACCGGGAATGCGGACCACGTTAGAGCATCTTCCTGTCAATACCAGTGTGAATAAATGAACGAGCTCATTATCCCAAGGTTTCATAACCCCAACATACCCCAAAAGCAGGCGGCTTCCTCAGAGCACCCTGACTTGGCAGTCAAGTAAAGAGCTTGAAGGCAGAAAGTTATTTCCTCTCTGATATGAGACAGCTCAGCTTGACCAGAATATATAACAGGCAGGACACTAATTAGGCAGAAGTATGACTCAGCAAGAAAGGCAAATAAATTGGCAGGCAACCCAACCACAAGCTTAATGTGTGTGTTTTTAAAGAGACAAGTTATTAGGGTTGGCAAGTTGAATATTTTCCCTTTCAGCAAAATATGATCAATGTATCAGTGATTAATAGTATCTACTATGTCTTTCTTTAACATTTAGTATAGCCAGGGTGTTTAAAAACACGTTACATACATTATCTCAATGGAATCTCAGAAACACCTTAACCTAGGCATTATTCCCATTTGACAGCCAGGAAACTGAGGCCTCTGACTCTGCCCAGGTCACACACTAGTAAGTGTTGTATGGATATAGTAAGAGCTGGGGTTTGAATCCAAGTCCATATGACTGTAAAGCCAGGGCTTTCATCCTATGGAAATTTCCCCGCATGGGTCAACTTTCTCTTCCACTTGATACTCAGGCGAGTATAGAATGAAATCGGGTCAGGAGATAGCACAGTACTCAGTTCCTCCTTTCTTTCTTAAATATTAATGCCACAAACAAAAGATGCTCATCTGAAGATAAATGGACAGAACTCAGAAAAAAAAACAAACAACTCGTAGAGCAGTGCTTTATGGAACTGGAGAGATGGGTGTGAAATTTTAACATTTGGGGGGTTTTGGCTTAGGAGGGCTTCGCCCACACTCATGCAGGGGAGACCAAAGTGATATGCAAAGACTCAGGTTGGCAAGGCGTGTGCAAAACAGACACAAAGACCAGGCAGGGTCTGACTGCAAACACAAACTTGACAGAATGACTTGCTCAGTTCCTGGCACCCCTACTCCTCCACCCATCATCCTATCCTCCTAACGCGAAGCTTCTCTGACAACAGAAACCCCAGCGTGGCTCTGCCAGGACAGTGGTTTGAGGCCAGTCTGTGACTTTCCGGGGTCACCCAGGGCTTGGCACTCCATGTCTGACCTTCCAGGGTCACCCAGGGCTTGGCACTCTGTGTCTGAATGAACGCCACCAGCCTTTCCCAAAGCTGCGGATCCTACAAATCACCCGGGGGTGGGGCTGGTGTTAAAACCGGGCTCCTGGACGAGACCCGCATGCAATGAATGAACCAACCCTCCAGGAGAAAGGCCTGGGCATCCGACCGACCCGCAAGCATCCCCTGTGGTTCTTCCCATCTAGCAAGTTTGGGAAACAGCTGATTAGAACCAACTCAACACCTCAGAGCAGTGGTTCTCAACCTTCCTAATGCCGCGATCCTTTAATACAGCTCCTCATGTTGTGGTGACCCCCAACCATAAAATTATTTTCGTTGCTACTTCATCACTGTAATGTTGCTACTGTTATGAATCATCATGTAAATATCTGATATGCAGGATGTATTTTCATTGCGACAAATTGAACATAATTAAAGCATAGTGATGAATCACAACAACAATATGTAATTATATATGTGTGTTCCGATGGTCTTAGGCGACCCCCGTGAAAGGGTCGTTCGACCCCCAAAGGGGTCGCGACCCACAGGTTGAGAACCGCTGCCTTAGAGGTTCAGGAAAATCACTGGCTCAAAAGTACAACCTGGAGGTTCCCCCAACGACCGAAACGAAACGCCTTCCGTTCCAGACGTGGGACTGAGGCCCAAGGTCACAACAGCTGGCTCCGGGCAGAAGGGGGTCTCCCACCCCGGCCTCCGGGACCCCAGCCCCGGCGCTTTCTCCCGACCGCTGTCCCTGGGGCCTCGGCCGAGGCAGGCGGTCCAGGAAGGACCAGGGCCACAGCGCCAGGAGCCCGCGGCGGACAAGACCGGTCCGGCCCCTCACGCCGGATTCTTAGGGCAAAAGCCCGCCATGGTCCTCGGGGAGGTGGCCAAGGCTAGTTCCCACCAAGTGACACGACTGGGACGAGGACACGGGAGGGTCTGGGGACGACCAGGGGAGGTCGTGTTCTTGGCGCCACCGAACCAGCGCTTACCTGGTACCCGGGACGCCCTCCCCGCTTCTCCGCAGCCGCCAGCTCCGCGCACGCGCTTCTCGCGAGAGGCGGGGGCTCCCGCGGAGCGTGAGGGCGGAAGTGGTTGCGCTGACGTCGGAGACGTGCCCGCTCCCAAGATGGCGGCCGTGTCCAGCGCGTTCGGCCGTGCGGGCTGGAGGCTCCTGCAGCTGCGGTGCCTGCCCGGTGAGGGGGCGGCCGAGCCGGGGAGCGGCGGGGAGCGGGGAGGGGGCGCGAGCCCGACCTGGGCTGGGTGCGGGGCGGAAGAGGCCGTGGCGGCGCCTCGCGAGCAAGGTGAGGTGAAGGGGCACGGGCGCGGGGCCGCCGGCGTCCCGGGATGGAACGGGCCGTCTGGCTGGGCTTCTGCCCCGAGTCAACAGATGCGAGGGGCCAAGAGTCGCGGAGCAGGGCCTCTCACTCCCATTTAATGGGCTTAACGAAGCCCCAGAGAGGGCTATGGGTGCCCAAGGTCACCCAGCTCGTGGTTGCGGAACTCGGCCCCCGTCTCCTAAGTCCCTTGCGAGGGCCCAGGGCCGGGAACACGAGGACAGAGGTGGGAGGCGACCGGAGAGAGCACCTTGGCCTCCGTTTCCGGTCAGTCAGCGCCCCCCCACGTCGGTAATTCTGCGATCCCCTTGCACCACCTTGGCCGCTATGTAGTCAGGATTTTTGTTTATACATCCGAGTTCTTAAAAAGACAGGCGTTTACTTAAAAGAGGAAACTTTGTATTGTTGGCATAAATGGACTACTAGACGCAATGTGACACATTGACAAAAATACATAGCTAATAACATAATAAACATTCTCCTGCATTTCACCTAAACTTTCCTACATCACCGTGGCCCCTCGGAGTTCCTTCAGAACCTCCCTTGTCCTTTTCAAAGTATTATGGATAGTCGCTCCCTTTTTTCTAAACATACACTAAAACGCTGGTGTTGTCACTCCCTTTTTTCTAAACATACACTAAAACGCTGGTGTTTTCACACCTATCGTGCTGATAGATTTTTTTTTTAAATGATGCCCTTTTGTTGTTTCTATACAAAACTCCAAACGAAATATGTTTAGTAAAAGCAATGCCTGTGACCCCGCAAATCCACTCCTAAGTATTTACAAATCCCAGAAGAAATGAAAGCCTGTGTCCACAACAAGGTTTGTACAAGGACGTTCGTAGCAACTTCACTGATAACAGCCAACCCTGAGCCAGCCCAGGTCTCCATCCGCAGAAGAGTGTATCCTCACGGAATACTACTCAGCAGTAAAAAGCAACCTGCTGGTTTACACAAAAAGCATAGCTCAACCTAAACAATGTGTTCAACAAAAGAAGTCACATAAAAATGACATGTATTTAGATGAAGTGCTAGGACAGGCAAAACTAGACGGGGAAAATTCAGAACTGTGGGTAGGGAACATGAGGGACCTTGCAGGGAGGTGATCACCTCTAGATGGGGGTTCAGGTTATATAAGTGCATTTGTCAAAATTCAGAATTGGCACGTTTCAGACTTTTGCATTTCATTGTATATAAATATCTCAATAAAGGAACAGAAAATATTAAACTCTAGTTCATAGAGGCACGGTGAAATGTTTAGAGATGAAGAATACTGAGGTCTGCAACAAATGTATCAAAATACAAAATGGATTAAGGAAGAGTGTGATGGCTACATATAGAGTATCTGGATGGTGGATATAAGGGCATTCGTGCCACAATTCTTTCAACTTGTCTGCGTGTTTGCAATGTTTTATAATACACTGTTGGGAAAGAAAAAAAGTATGAAGTGGTGCTTTCCCAAAAGCCCTTTCCTAGTGTGAATGAAGGGGGTGTTGCAATATTGCAGATGAGAAAGCAGGCATCATATAAACACTGGAGGTCAGTACTCAGACCTTCTAATTTCTAGTCCAGTGCTCTAGCCATAATATCTATAATAATAAAAGGGTAATATGCCAATTAAACTGGACGTCATTCCGGACGTCCTTCCTGACGAAGCTGGGCCGGAGGGAAGCCAGCCCGGGTCCCAGGTTCCTGCCAGTGGTCGGAAGGAAGCAGCCTGGGCCCAGGTCCCAGGTGCCTACTGGCAGCCAGAGGAGGGAAGCCGGAAGCTGGGGGAAGGAAGGCCTACTCTTGCACGAATTTTCGTGCATCGGGCCTCTAGTATAAATGTGAAACATTTCCAAGTCACTGTCACTTTTTGTTTTAGCCCCACTCCCATGGAGCAAGTAATGGAGATTATTCTTAATTATTCTTCTTAATTTGCCTACTTTAAAGTCACGCTCACAGGGATGAAATGGCTTGCCCATTACCACACAGCTAACAAATGATAGAAACAGGCCTAGAAGCAGGTCTTCTGTTTTCTGGCTCAGACTCTTGTCTCCACGTCATGTCTCAAGGTTGCCAATTTACCCTGAATTTTGCCCGAGACCCAACACTTGGATAAGTGGTGCTGGAGAGGACTCTGCCCTCTTGCCCTCCCCCATCCCTTGTACCACGGTAGGTTTCAAAGGGTCTTCTCTGGTGAGTGTCGCCGAGTGACCAGTCCCGCTTCTGTTTCAGTGTCCCGCTGCCAGCCAGCCCTGGCACCACGCGCCTTCCATGCATCAGCTCTGCAGCTGAGGGCTTCAGATGAGCAGAAGCACCGACCTCCCCCTCCCTTTTCTCAGCAACATTCTGAGACGCAGGGGGCAGAAGAACCCAGTCCGGAGTCTTCTCGTCCACCCCCCAGGTAGGCACCAGAACCCTGTCAACCCATTTCTGGCCACTGTGCATGCTTGGGTACAGCTGTTCTCCTTCCTCTCTCTCTTCTTTCTCACCTTTCATCATGATCAGACTATCTTGGAAAGGAACCTCCTGTTTTTTAATGAAAATGGTGCCTGTATGTTGTAAAACATCTAAACAATACAAAGAAGTTCGCAGAAATTACTGGAAATCACAGATCCAGAAATAACTCTGCCAACATTTTTGTTACTACCTTTTTAGATGTTTCTGTAAGCATATTTCATATGTAAACTTACATATATAATAATGGTTAATTACAGCCCTGGCCTCTATGGCTCAGTTGGTTGAAGCGTCATCCTGTGCACTGACGGGTTAAGGGTTCAATTCCGGGTCAGGGCATATACCCAGGCTGCTGGTTCGATCCCTAGTTAGGGTACCTATGGTAGGCTACCAATCAATGTTTCTCTCACACATTGACGTTTCTTTCTCTCCATCTACTTTCCTCTCTCTCTCTCAAATCAATAAAAACATCCTTGGATAAGGATTTAAAATAACAGTCATAATGATTAATTATATGTGCTCTTTCAGAATCTGTTTTTTCACTCTATACATTTTTAATGTCTTTTCACGGTCATTATTTTAGTAATTGCATAATATTCCAGCAAACTTTGGTACCAAAGTTTGTTTAACCTATCTTTTATTGATGAATATTTAGATTTCCTTCACTGGTATGAAAAATAATGTGATAAAGTGTGTGATTCTCTCAGCAATGGGAGCACTGAGTCAAAGGATATGCGCATGTAGCATTTTGTTACATATGTGGGGCCAGATTGTCCTCTAGAAACATAATTTCCATTTCCATTAGATATTTTTTTCTTAATCCTACCACTGAGAAGTTCCTCTGGCTCTGAAATTAAGTATCCCCAGTCATTATTCTGGTCTCCTGATTAACATACTTTTCATTTCAGTTCAACAAATATTTTTTTGAGAATCTACTTTGTGCCAGACCCTGTGGATAATATGACCATTGTTTCAGATCTCATGGTGTTACCGTCTGGTGCAAATACAGATAAAGAAACTGCTGAGGGCTAGAAACAGGGAATCCTGGGAGCTGCAGGAGCATGTGACGTCCTCGCTCACTGCTGCCTGCTCTCAGTGAGCATACGGGAGGGGAAGGATGATAGAGGTTTTACCTTGTTGGCACTGCGATACCAATACACAAACGCAAATATCCTCCCAACACGTGCTTACTAACTAGTAGCTATGGTTTCTGGTCAGGCTCATTGTGCACTCGAGGCAGCAGGCAGGAGGATGAGGTGTGCAGGGCTCTGTCCCCATGTCTCCCTCGGATTTGGGTCTCAGGTACACAGATCAGGCCGGCGACGAGGAGGAGGACCATGAGAGTGAGGAGCAGCTGCAGCACCGCATCCTGACAGCAGCCCTGGAGTTCGTGCCTGCCCATGGGTGGACGGCAGAGGCAATTGCGGAAGGAGCCCAGGTGTGTGTAGGTGAGGGCGGGGCAGCCTGACCAAGATCAGCCGGGAGGGAGTTCCATCAGCCAAAGCAGAGGCCTTACATCAGCCAAAGTGCAGCCCAGCTTAGAACCCTCATCCCTGTAGGATTTTCTGGGTGTGTTTTTTGTGTGTGTTTTTTGCAGGGGGCGGCTCTTTATTAGTAAGGTGAAACTAGGTTCATTATAAAACTGCTTTTTACTATAAAAAGAATATAAGATGGAGTTGGTTCTTAGGAGTAAGGTTCTAAAGGCAGCCCATGTAAAGAATTGCCTATGACAAAAATGACCATATTTCATTGACTCTAAGTTGCCAGTTGTAAGAAGCAACATTGTTGTATGCATCACTGAAAAAGATAAATGCTGCCTTTAAACTGTGACGCATCATCAGTTGTACAATTCACACTGATTGTTTAAAATGAGAAATATGTGCATCTTAGACTTGATGAAATACGGTGTTTGAAAACCCCAACAAGGCACCACTTGGGAGAACCACACTGTATTTTTCTCAGTAAGTCTAATACATTTGCTCCTGCATCTGAATAGACTGGCAGATTGCCCTCTAAAAGGGCTGTGTACTGCCACCAAAAGAGAGGCATTTCCCCACTCCCCACAGGGGGAGTTCCTAGTTAATGTTTTTGTTTTGTTCCTTTTTCTCCCCCTGTCTCTGCTGCTGTCAGGTTTCTGCCTCCAGCAGATGCACAGCAGTTGCTGTAGATGGGGAGTAGCAGGGATCTTTGTGGCTTTGTTAACTTCTTGACAGCTCATTAAAGAAAGCTTTGTTGTTGTTTTCCATTTTAATTTATTGATTTTAGAGAGAGGAAAGGAGAGAGAGAGAGAAACATTAGTTTGTTGTTCCACTTATTGATGCATTCATTGGTTGCTTCTT